ATTCATGGTAACATCACGGAAAAGATCTAGACCATATAAGTTTGTAATTTCCTGAGGATGGTTTCATTTATAGCTCTTGTTGAAAATAGCTAAGCCAACTAATAAAAGGTGGAATAAAAAAAAAAAACTACTAATTTCAAAGGTGAAATATTAGTTTCATTAAATCTTTTGCTTCAGATACTTTTCAAGCAATACTTATATTAGATATTGGGCTTCCCTGATGCCTCAGATAGTAAAGAATCTGCCTGCATGCAGGAGACCCAGGTTTAACTCCTAGGTTGGGAAGATCCCCTGGAGAATGAAATGGCTACCCACTGCAGTATTCTTGCCTGGGAAATCCCATGGACAGAGGAGCCTGAGAGCTATAGTTCATAGGGTCTCAAAGAGTTGGATATGGCAGAAGGACTAACACTTTCACTGTATTAGGGAAAATAATCTCACTTGATGAATTTTCTTTGGCCAATAATTTACCACCCTTCCACCAACCTTACTAGAGGAAACCTGTTGTTGCATCTTTCCTTGTGAACTTAGGTTTAGTTTTGAGTCCACAGAAAGGAATAATAAAGAAAGTAATAGGAGAATGTTGGCCTTTCAGGAGGAATATCTGCATTTATTAGTACATACCCAGGTAATGAAGGTGGCAAGCAGGTGCTAAGCTCACAGAGAAGTTCAAAGCAGCAATAGCATAAAAGAGGTGAGGAAGACCTAAAAGAGAGGGCATTTTCTCAGCCCTTTTTTTCAGAGTTTAAACTGATGGATGGGACACTTGGTCATTTTCACAGCAGGCAGCACTTGCCAGTTATTCTCCTGTTACTGACTCCATGAATCAACTTAATGAGAGGAGGTAGAGGTTAGAATTTCATTAAATGCTACTGCACAGCACTTCTGAACATGCCCTATTAGCGATTTAAACCATGCTGAGACTCACTTCCTCTCCTTCCTTTTCCCTCCCCAAAGAGAATAAAAATACCACCTCCTTTTTGTCCCCATTTTAATCCTACTGCTATTTATTCTTTTACTAATCTGCCATTTTTATATCCATAATCTTTTTATGCTTCTTTCAACCCCTAATGAATCTATATCTAAACATCAAGAGACATAAATACAGAGAATTTTGCTACCTTGCACGTGTTGAAGTTTCATTCAATAGCATTCTCATTTTGAGGAAGGAAAACCCTGCTTTTCCTTATTAGCAAACCAGCAATGTTTTAACCTACTTTCCATCACTAAACACTGCTTTGCTTTTGAAAATGCTAATAGTCAATGAAATTAAACCAAGCCATCCTGTCTTTTAAGATATTTTTTCCTTTCACTCATGAAATGCATAATACTAAAGCTGATTGCATGGCTGACTCCATTATTAGATAACCCCAAAATGTCAAATGATACTGTTTAAATTAGGTGAGCAAAGCAGAATTACTAGTCCCACACAGGAAAATTGTGCACCATTATAGAATCAGTGAAAAGAAGCTTATAGGAATTTCACAGTTTGAAATTAATAATCGGGCTTTAGCTCCTGTATTTTTTTTTTCACCTCATTTCCATTTGGGTACTGGAAGCCAATACATTCAAAAGGAACAATTAAACTCTCTTGACATCATGAACCTCCTGCAGTTGGGTCAGGACACTGTGGGCAATTAGATGGCCCAATGTAGGTCATTCAAAGCATAATCAGTTTCCTATTGTTTGCTTACAAGCAACAGTGAGTACCCAAAGCTCATCACCATTGTTACTTGGTTGGGTTTTTGTTCATTTACTTTTGGTTGTTTTTAAATCCTATTCAGGTACATTTCCATTCTTAACTAATTTCACATGGAAAATGAAAGTTGTTCTGTTCTTTCTATTCACTTGTGACTGGGGCAGAGTTCACGTAAACCTAGAATCTTCCCATTTGTGCTATACTACTATGGAGATTGTGGGAATTTTTCAAAGAAAGTTGCAATCAGATGCTGCTCATTCAAAAGGGTAATACTTCATCAGACACATTCTATTCCAGGTGGTTCTAAAAATGCCTACACCTTAACTGGCCCAGCTAATAATAGAAAGTTAATTAGAAAAGTAAGCCTTAAGAGTTTAGTGACTCTGCAGCCATGAATAAGTGCAATTTTCTACCCAAAATAGTTTCCTAAACAATAGAAACTGTTAAGCTGGAAAAGAAAAAGTTGGCAAGATAAGAAACCTTAAAAACAGGACTCCAAAGTAACCATAAATTTTCCAAGGAAGCTATTCTATAGTCATTTGCCTTTTGGCAATGCTCCCAAATACTGAACATCCTTTCAGAGTGCCAAAATGAAGGGGCATTGTAATGTGAATTTTGACATTTTATACTCTCTAGGTATGAAATAACTGATTTTTTGGAAAAATTAAAAAGGGAAGGGGGCAGAGAGCACTCTAACCCAAATATCCTTCTGTCCAGGAAGTTTCCAAATATCCCTACTCAGTGATAGTCTCCCTTCTCTGGGCTGCCTTAGCACTTTTCTCAGACCTCTTCCCCCCCCCCCCCATTTATTTTTATTAGTTGGAGGCTAATTACTTTACAATACTGTAGTGGTTTTTGTCATACATTGACATGAATCAGCCATGGATTTACGTGTGTTCCCCATCCCGATCCCCCCTCCCACCTTCCTCCCCATCCCATCCCTCTGGATCTTCCCAGTGCACCAGTCTGGAGCACTTGTCTCATGCATCCAACCTGGGCTGGCGATCTGTTTCACCCTTGATAGTATATTTGTTTCAATAAGTATTTGAACGTTCTAGGACTAAGAAAGTATGTCTTGGCTTTCCCTGCTAGATAGCTGCTCAACTCTTTAAATACAGGAATTGAAAAAATTAAAAATAAATAAATAAATACAGGAATTGTTATTAGTCAGTTTTGTATTTCTAAGCCTGATTTAGTATCTGGCATTTATTAAATTCAATAGCAATAAGTGCATATGTCTCCTATTATGAATTCATAATCTAGCAGAAATTTCCAGGAGTTGCTCTAATTTCTCCATTTCCACAAAAACAAGTATTGATTTGCACATAATTCTAGGACATAGATTTTTCTCTAATTATTCTCTTAAGATACTTAACTTATCCAAGAATGAAGTTAAGTGACAATGTAATAATGTAACCAGGCTAACAAAAATTCAAGGGATCTGCTCACAATGAGGGCAAACTTCTCTTATATCTGAAGTATTCATTATGCTGAAACTACAAATATTCATCATCTCAATATATCCCTTATCAACATTAGAAGCATATCAGATTTTATTTCCATATGATATATAAGAATAATTGTGAACAGATTTCTGAGTTCTGGTTCATGATCTCAGGCTTATGACCTAGGTTATAAGAGCCTAAATTAACTTATACATCTTTCTTTCTTATATATAAATATATATGTGTGTGTGTATATATATATATATATATATATATAGTGAAAGATTCAAGGTACATGGAAGTGATTTGAAAATCATAAAATATCTCACAGCTGGGCCCTCAAAACAGAATGGGAGAGCTAAAATTTAAGTCCTTGAAACTAGACATGAATGATAAAGTTTTCAAATATCAAATCCCAAGAAATAACCAGCTATAAGAGTTGATCTATCACTTCATTTCATTTCACATGTATTGCTATAGATCTTTCACTGAATATATAGCATACTGACCTGAGTTATTGCACTTGTGAGCCCTTGTTTTTCATGAAAAAAATGGCCTACTTTCCAGAAATCATTGAAACATCTCTGGGGAAATTATACAAGATCCCAGCTGTGAGGGGGAAAAAAAAATCTATACGTGATGTAAAGAAGAATAAATATTGTTGATGATGGGTCAGGAAAGGTTAGTAATAAGTTAGAGATCACTATCAGTATACAATAAGGAATCTATGGTATTCTTAAATAACAAGTGAAAAATAAATCTCACAATATTTTGTCAATCAATGGCTTCTGAATCAATAGAAGTATATCCTCTTTTTCTGCTAAGTTGAAAACTGGTAGCTATTTTTTTTTTAATCAGAAACTGTAGAGGTGTTTTTTTTTGTTTGTATGTTTGTTTGTTTGTTTGTTTTGAGGACTGAAGCCAGAATAGAAAGTATCCAGTGTAGCATCTTAAGGTATGTTTATCCAAAATTTCTAATTTTAACAAATTAAAATTCACATGTTAAAGAAAAAATTTAAAAGATGTAGAAAAAATTAACAGAGCTGTTTTAGGAGTGGTTTAGGTTTGAAAAATATCTTACCATGCATGTAGTAGTATATAAGTTCAAGTTCTACTTATTGTTTTTTGATAATTTAATATCCTAGAAATAAAAACTAGCTTTTCCTGTGGTTGGAGTAACTTGCTTGTGTTCCTACAGCAACAATCTAAAAGGCAGGACAACTTCAATTAATAATTCCTCTTCTCATATACCTCAGAGTGGGAAAAAAAGGATGAGAAATTGATATGCTTTCTGATTCAAAAGATTGATGACACTAAAGATGAAAAGAGTCAATACAGATCAGTCATTTAATGCTACATAATATTAAAACTTCCTAACAGATTGTTAATCTAGATTTTTCAGGTTAATATGAGATATTTTTCAATAAAAAATAGCTTTTATTCTTATTTTATTTTGAAGTAAAGCTAGAATGCTGAATTTTTTGGATGCTTAACAATAATTCTATTAAAATTATTTATTTTCCAATACAAATATCATGCATGCTTCTAATTATGCAATGTGTTGTCTATATGAGATTGTATGTCATCTCATCACATGTAACTGTATACATAAAAAATTTCTATACATATACATTTTGTATAAACATATTAAGTGCATTGTAATGAATACATTTATATAGTGGGTTGCCCCAAAAGTTCCTTCAGTTTTTAAGCAAAATTACAAGACAAATTTTTCATTTTCACCAAGAACTTTATTGAACAATGTATTTGCTGACATTTTTGGGGCAACTTCATAATTCTATCTTTCCAAAATTTTTTATCTTTTTGATAAAAAAAAACTGTTCCAGGTGCCTTTTACCGTCTTCCAAGGAATTGAATTTTTTTTTCCACTAAGAGAATTTTGTAAAGACCAAATAATGTCTGGTGATATGGCAGATGTCTGGTGATATGCCTGGTAATATGATGGATGAATAAGGCTCTCCCTCCAAGCTGTAACAGTTTGTGCCTGGTCATCAAAGAAAATGCAGTTCTGTGTTATCCTGATGTTTTCAGTTGATCTAATTGGGAGCAATACTTATTGGAATTAATTGTTTGGTTTTCTGAAAGGAGTTAATAATAGAGGACTCCCTTCCAATTCCACCATGTATATAAAACATCATCTTCTTTGGATGAAGACCAGACTTTCATGTGGTTGATGGTTGTTCATTTCATTTGCCAGATCATCTCTTCCATTCTACATTATTCTAGAGTACTCACTTTTCATCATCCATGGGATTCTCCAGGCAAGAATACTGGAGTGGATTGCCATGCCCTCCTCCAGGTGATCTTCTCAACCCAGGTGTTGAACCTGCATATTCTGCATTGCAGGTGGATATTTTACCCACTGAGCCACCTGGGAAGCCCAATATAGTTTGACCCTAAAGTTTATAAACCTCCCGCCCTGCCCTCTCTCTTGAACTTTAGATTTGGATAAGAAAAATATTTACATGGCATTTCCATTTGATTTCTAAAGGCATCTCAAACTCAACATGCCCCAAACTTAATCCTCTTGTCTTTTTTACCAATTTTTCGTAATCAATGTGCTTATTTATCAACCCCTCACTTTTCTCTTGGGCTGCCCTGGAAGCTTAGATGGTAAAGAATCCACCTGCAGTGCACAAGACTTTGGTTCAAATCCTGGAGAATGGAATGACCACTCACTCCAGTATACTTTCCTGGAGAATTCCAAGACAGAAGAGCCTGGTAGACTGCAATCCATGGTGTCACAAAGAGTCAGACATGACTGAGTGACTAACACACACTCTTGATTCTCTTAATTTACATGCAACTCATGAGCACAGATTCTTGGTTCTCCTTTCTCAATAAACCCTGTAAGACTAAATGTTCCCAAAGTTTCAGTACAAAGCACGTTAGCTTTGGGGAACACTTGTGTAGAATTACCACATGAAGACTGGCTCAGACCATAACAGGGACATATATAAAATCATAGCAGCATGCATTATCTTTTGAAGGGATGAGCTACTGGCTGTTGCCATCTTCTCTCTCTTCATATCTTCATATCTTCTCCCTATCTTTCCATTTAATAATACATATGAGGAAAATAATAAATAAATGGCATAAATCTTAGAAATATTCAACATTGTAGTCCAATAATACACCCAATAATTATTATACCAACAAAATATTCAACAATGTAGTCCAATAATACTCTTCATGTTTTGAAAAGTGCTATCCCAACTATTATTTCATTTGACCCAGGAAACAATATTAAAAAGCTATTGCCTACGTAGGGCTATAATATTTTTAAAGATGAGAAATTTTTATACACTTGAGGTAGAAAATTATTTTCTTAAGTCTAAACCAAGAAATTAGTCAAGTGTAGCTATCAAGTCATGTTTCTGATCCTAAAACCTCAACTACTGATGCATTTGAAAGGTGGTAGTAATATCAAGACAGACAGAATCTTATTGTCACATTTTATATTGGTGCTTCTTATTTATTTTTCCCTCCTCTCCAGCCCTTTCTGTGTCATACAGCCATAATTGCATCATACCCAATCCATTTCAGGCTTTCAAAAATACTTGTTCCCCTCACTCTGTAATATTCATTCCTAACTTCTCTGCCAGAAAAACTTATCATCTGCCAGGTCTCAACTAAATTGTAACCTACTCTAGAAAGAGACACTCTGGAAAATACAAGTTACTTTATTAAGTGGTCTCAAGGTGCACAATATTCTAATAAAAATAAAAATCATGTGTTTTAACTGTAATCTTTCCCACTGGGATCATAAATTCAACAGCAACAGGCTCATGTTTGCAACTGACATGGTAAATCCCACAGCCTTTAGCTCAGAGAAACTTTATTAATAATAAAGAATGATGAGTGGTCATAATGTGAATATCAAACCTCAATGAAGTGTACCCCGCTCATATATCTATCCATAATATTTATAAACAATTGTTAATTTTTTTTTCTCTGACATGTTAAAAGCTTGGAAGTCTTCAATTCCAATCTTACATAGGAAAAAGCCAAAGAGACTGAAAATCCATAACTTTTTCTCAACCCACCATAGATGAGATTGAAAGGCAAAGCAATACCCCCGAATTCTGGGTAAGCAGGTCAAGAGAGTCACAGCCAAGATCCATGTTTATGAGAGTACAGCTTCTAGAGAAACCATGCATGGGAAGAAAACACTTAATGATGATTATGATGAAATTATGTGAGAGGGGGCTGCAGACAAGCTTAAGGGTGAGAAAATCCTGAGGGCTGTAGTCTTAGAGTGGCTTTATACTTTTGTAGCCTTTACCTCTATGAATCCAGAAACTTCTCACAATGACAAACCAATAAAGATCCCCTTGTGACACTGGCAGGGAAAGGAGAAAAGAAACCATTGTGAAATACAGTATAATGTTCCCTATAACAAAATTATACATTCTACTGGAAGAGACTTCACTGCACCCTTATCCCACCTAGGGAAAAGGCATTTCCCTGACTCCAGCTCTCTCTATCCATCCTGTTTCACTCAAGGGGAAAAAAACAAAGCTCAGAAATACATCTCAAAGTCACAGCCCCGGGATGAGGGTCCACTGAGATATAGACATTTCATCACTGAAAGTATATAATGCTTCCCTTTGCTACACATTATACCAATAACAGCAGTGTATTATAGCTATAAGAACTTTGAGGCAGACTGTCTCTAGGGAAGAATATTTCAGTTCAGTTCAGTACATTTCAGTTGCTCAGCTGTGTCCAACGCTTTGCGACCCCATGGACTGCAGCACACCAGGCCTCCCTGTCCATCATCAACTCCTGGAGTTTACACAAACTCATGTCAGTTGAGTTGGTAATGCCATCCAAACATATCATCCTCTGTCATCCCCTTCTCCTCCCACCTTCAATCTTTCCCAGCATCAGGGTCTTTTCAAATGAGTCAGTTCTCATCAGGTGGCCAATGTATTGGAGTTTCTGCTTCACTATCCGTCCTTCCAATGAATATTCAGGACTGATTTCCTTTAGGATGGACTGGTTGGATCTCCTTGCAGTCCAAGGGACTCTCAAGAGTCTTCTCCAACACCACAGTTTAAAAGCATCCATTCTTTGGCTCTCAACTTTCTTTATAGTCCAACTCTCACATCCATACATGACCACTGGAAAAACCATAGCCTTGACTAGACAGACCTTTGTTGGCAAAGTAATGTCTCTGCTTTTTAATGTGCTGTCTAGGTTGGTTATAGCATTTCTTCCAAGGAGCAAGCATGTTTTAATTTCATGACTGCAGTCATCACTGAAGTGATTTGAGGGCCCCCCCAAAATAAAGTCTGTCATTGTTTCCACTGTTTCCCCATCTATTTGCCATGAAATGATGGAACCAGATGCCATGATCTTAGTTTACTGGATGTTGAGTTTTAAGCCAACTTTTTCACTCTCCTCTTTCACTTTCATCAAGAGACTAGTTCTTCTTCACTTTCTGCCATAAGGGTAGTGTCATCTGCATATCTGAGGTTATTGATATTTTTCCCTGCAATCTTGATTCCAGCTTGTGCTTCACCCAGCCAAGCATTGCTCATGATGTACTCTGATATAAATTAAATAAGCAGAGTGACAATATACAGCCTTGATATAGTCCACGCCTGCTTTGGAACCAGTCTGTTGTTTCATGTTCAGTTCTAACTACTGCTTCTTGACCTGCATACAGATATCTCAGGAGGCAGGTTAGGTGATCTGGTATCTCTGTCTCTTTAAGAATTTTCCACAGTTTGTTGTGATCCCCACAATCAACGTCTTTGGCTTAGTCAATTAAGCAGAAATAGGTGTTTTTCTGGAACTCTCTTGCTTTTTTGATGATCCAACGTACGTTGGCAATTTGACCTCTGGTTCCTCCGCCCTTTATAAATCCAGCTTGAACATTTGGAAGTTCACAGTTCACTTTTTGTTGAAGCCTGGCTTGGAGAATTTTGAGCATCACTTTGCTAACCTGTGAGATGAGTGCAATTGTGCAGTAGTTTGAACATTATTCAGCATTGCCTTTCTTTGGGACTGGAATGAAAATTGACCTTTTCCAGTCCTGTGGCCACTGCTGAGTTTTACAAATGCTGGCATACTGAGTGCAGCACTTTCACAGCATCGTCTTTTAGGATTTAAAATAGCTCAACTGGAATTCCATCACCTGCACTAGCTTTGTTCATAGTGATGCTTCCTAAGGCCCACGTGACTTGGCATTCCAGGATATCTGGCTCTAGGTGAGTCATCACACCATCGTGATTGTCTGGGTGGTGAAGATTTCTTCTGTATTGTTCCTCTGTGTATTCTTGCCACCTCTTTTTAATATCTTCTTCTGATTATACTTAGGTATGATCAAAGTCTATGAAGAAAACAAGAGCAGGGGAAATAGATTGCTGGCTTCTGGTGCTACAGCTGCAGCAAATATGACACACAGCTAAATTTCTAGCCAAATTCTTAAAAAATCTTCAATTATAGTCTTGTTTAGCTCAATTCCTATTAACCAATAAAATATATACAGAACAAGTGTATTCTGTCTTGATTAGCAATGCAAAGAAAATAATTTTCAAATTAAAAGACCAGTTTCTATGCCTAGCAAAGTTCTGAGAATGTCTAGAAAAACTATTTGTAATTAAAAATTCTAAAACTAGGCCTATTTTCACATAAGTATCACAAGTGTCTCATTAACTTGCACACTTCTTTGAGGTTGTTAAGCAGGTTATTTCCATGAATGCTGAATCAAGAGTAGAAATTAAAGTCACCATTGCAGATGTTTAAATATTTTAATAAATTATTAGTTGCTAAACAGACAAAAAAAAGACATTTTAAATATAAAATCTTTGACAGGTTAAAAGTAAAGTGATAGAGAAAGATATACCATACTTATACCAATCAAAAGAAGCTAAATTAGATAATGAATCTCAGATGAAACAGTTCTTAGAACAAGGAAAAAAATAAAAAAGAGTGGCACTACATAATGGTTAAAAAGTCAGTTCTCAATAGAACACAAAATTTCTAAACATTTATGCACCTAACAGAGCATCAATGCAAATGACAAAATTAGGGTACAATTGAAAGAAGAAACAGTAAAGTCAATAATTATAGTATAATATTTCAACAATTCTGTCAGTAATTAATAGATTAAGCAGGCAGAAAAATCAGAAAGATATAGTTGACCTGAAAATCACTATCCATCATTTTTCTTTAATTGACTCTTAGAGAATAATCCATCCAATAACAGCAGAAAACACATTCTTCCCTACCTCACATGAACCACCCACCAAGTTGGACATTACTCTGGCCCTTAAAACACATGCTCACAAATATAAAACAAGAGAAATTGTACAAAGTATATTCTCAGACCATAATGGAATTAAACTATAAATAAACAATAAAAATATGACTAGAAAATTGCTAAATATTTGGAAATAATACAACACACTTTTGAATAGTACCTAAGGCAAATAAGAAGTTTGAAGAGTAATTACATATTTTAAACACACATTTCAGAAAAGAAGAAATATCTAAAATCAATAATCTAAGCTTTCACATTAGGAAGTTAGATTTCTGAAAGTGAAATTGAAGCCTAAAATAAGAAGAAGAATAAAAGAAATAGCAACAATTAGCAGATAAATCAATGACGCTGCAAACAAGTACATAATAATTACTTCAGTGATACAAAGCTGATTCAACATTTACAATTTGAGCAATTATAATCCACCAAATTAACAAGCTAAAAAGAAAAGTCATATGGTTATATCAACTGATGCAGTAAAGGCATTTGAGATAATTTAGCACTTGTTCATGAAAAAAATTCTCAGCACTCATTCATGATAACAATTCTCAGTAAACTACAGGAATGTGGCCTTGATTTGGTAAAGAATATCTCCACAAAAATGTGCACGTTTATAGCATTTTTATTCACAATCATCAAAAAGACAAGCAACTAAGATGTCTTTTATTAGATGAATGGAGAAACATGTATGGTACTTCTGTACAATGGGGTGTCATCCAAGGATAAAAAGAAAAGAACTATAACAGATATGGATAAATGAGTCATATTGCTAAGTGCAAGAAGCCAGTGTGGAAAGGGTAAAAACTATTGAGTCCAATTGCACATTATGAGAAAGTTCAGACACTAGAGATAGGAAAAGGAGAGATTCAATAGGTGAAGCACAGAGGACATTTTAGGGCAGAGAAAAATATCCTATACAATATTATAATTGTTCTATACAATCCATGGCATTACATATCTTCAAAAGCCATAGAACTTGGTACCACAAAGAGTGAATCTTAATAAACACAAATTAAAAAGTTAATTTTGGAGGACAGAACATCAGGATGAAAAGCAGACAATGACAAAACAATTTATGTTACAAATATATGAAACAATCTCACCAAAAGGGTGATGCATAAGGTGTTGGTCTAAGTAAAAAAAATAGTGGAGACTAAAGTGAAAACTAAAGGTAAAAGGAGCAAGACATAAGCACTGTACTCTTGTTAATAAACTTCTTTCCCACGGGATATAGTAACAGTTCTGATACTGCTATACATTTTCACTGAAATTGAATAGTTAAGGAAAATGTTAGTAAGGGGTAGAAGTCAGACTTCTCACAGTTGAAAGGAAGGCTGCAGACAAACAAGAACAAAACCTGGATTGTGTTGTGCTGCATTAGAGCTGGAGCCAGCAGGATGAACCCATATACATCTTAGTACCTATGGACGAGTAAATATGGAAATAATTATAAATATGTACATATAAATAAATTAGTATACACATTATTTCCTTTTGCTGTCTTAGCTGGGAGGGCTGAAAATAAGGATATTTAGTAACAAAGACCATACCTGTGCCCATGTACCAGTTTCTATTTTCCCCAGTTAAAGGAATCAGGGTTCCTTGGAAAAATGAATGATTCCAGGATGAGGGCAGCAGGAAATATGTAGGATGAGCCTGGCGTTTCTTACAGTGCCAGAAAATAAGGGTATACTGAATTAAAACACAATGATGGAATATGTCAAAATGACACAAGAAATAACAGAAGGAGATTCTAATCACCAAGACTAGAACAATTTGAACAACACAAAAAATAAAGTAGTATTGAATTATAAATCAAAGTATAAAATAAATATCTATATGCTAATATATAAATGAATGATGTAATAAATAATAAAGTGAGATAACAGACAAATCTTCCATTCAGAGAATTCCAAGTGGTAAATGTACTTATAATAATGTTCATTTCACTCTCAGAAGCTAACACATAACATTCCACTTCACTGTATGAGCTGCACATTGTGACTTTCCTCCAAAAACACAATATGACAGAGGGAAAGAGATACTTTAGTGGAGAAACCTGAAAATTA